TATACTTTGTCTTTTTGGAACTATTTTTATGTTCTAAAAAATAATGAAAACAATTGATTAATCTTAATATTCTAAACCATTAATTATTTCACTTGAAATTAAAACAATTGAATTAATTTGTAGAATCTTGAATAAAATGAAGGTACAAAATAAGAGCATATTCTTGATTGTGTTGTAAGTAATGTGGCAAACGATGAGATTATTTAATGAGATGAGTTTGTTTTCAAAAACAAATAAGAGCATATTCCAAAAGTTTGGTTGAATTCTTTTGAGCCTGTTTAGTAACACTGAAATTAGCTGAATCAGATGATTCTGTTGAAATTTATGAAGTTCTGGCTGAAATGGCTAGATTGGTTGATTCTGTTGATTTATGAATATGTGATGTCTTAAAGCTACTATTCAAGCCGAAGAGGAACACCAAGAATGCTTTACTGAGGTTAAAAGAAGAAATATTAAAAACATGAACATTTTTAAGCGAGAAGATGAACAACTAATCTACCACGTGGGATATAGCTCATATCCGGTGATCACCAGAAGCCACTCCAAAAAACCACAAAATGAGACGTACTACTATGTTTACCCGGTGGATGAAAGGTTTGACTCGTCTCATAAACTGGTAGCGGCTCTCAAGTGCTTTAAATACTATCATCTAGATGCCTAAACATTGCATCCCTATCTACATAAGACTATCAAGTTCCGTAACAATTCAACATATCCATCTCAGCATCAATTGGAATTCCCTTTAATAATTTCAAATGCTAATATAATTTATTTTCCCGTATGCTTTAATTCTGTTGTACTTTCAAACATTTATTTAATAAATAGGGAGGTGTTCCCCGGCGCGCCCCAACATTTATTTTCAACAGATCCATCTCAGCATCAATTGGAATTCCCTTCAAACATTTATTTAATAAAATGTTATGTTTAAAATATCTTTTATTAATAAAATAAAAGAAAAATTATATGAAAAATAGTTAAACGGTCATCTACAACAGCTTCAGCCAGCGCAGTCACAAACATAACTTTACTCTTACTTTTTTTTTATTACAGAGTATTATACAATTCAGCTTGCGAAATAAAAAATAAGCTCTTAAACTTGGCGGATAAAGGCTTTCAAACTTTTTGGAGGTATATTGATTATTTCACATCTTGAAGGGACTATTTTATACATGGTCTCAAAGAAAAAAACAAAAACAAAAATGCACGAAGACGGAAAAAATACAACATGCATAAGTGGAGATAAAGTAAAGAAAAGATACGGAGTATAAATTAAGGGAATAACCTGGTATGTTATGTACGGAGTATAATTTTTATATGTACCATTGGATGGAAGATGTATAAGAGGTCGTTTGTCAACACTGTTTTTCGGCTTATCAGGCTTATAAACCAACTTTTTCACCAAACACGTAATTTTTGCTTTCACGCGTTGAATTGTGTAATAAGTAGAAAAAGTAAGGCTGGGGTTACTTTTCTGATTGTATTGGCTGAAGTTACTCTAGATGAACATTTTAGCTATTTTACATATAATTTTTTCTTTATTTTATTAATAAACTATATTTTAAAATTATTTTTTTCTTAAATCAGCAAAATCAGCCAATGCAGCCACTTCAGCCAGAACTTCATAAATTTCAGCAGAATCAGCCAAATCAGCCAATTTTCGTGCTACCAAACGGGCTCTAAATGTTGTTTGTTACTCATATGATTTAACTTGATGTATTTCAATACTTATAAAATAAATTGTGCTAAATAGAAATAAAAATATTTGTGAATTTAAAAAAAAAATGTTCCCTAAATAAGTGGAACTCTGCCATGTTTTGGCGTTATTAGATTTTAAGAGCTCGTTTAGTGACTCACATTTTTGGCTTATCAACCCTATCAACTACTTTTTCACCAAACACGTAACTTTTGAGTCCGTACGTGGATTGTGCATTAATCAAAATAAGTAATGTTAGACCTATTTTCTACCTCATTAGATTGAAATTACTATAGAAGATGATTTTAGTCATTTCCACATAACTTTTTTTTCATTTTATTAGTGAAAAAAAATTTAAATATAATTTTTCCATAATTCAACAAATTCAACCCACTCAGCTATTTTGGTCAAAACTTCAACAATTTCAGCAGATTCAGTTAATTCAACCAATTTAGTGTCATCTAATGTCTCTAAATATGATACTGTTGCTTAAACTTGACAGTTATTACTCATTCTTAAGGGGCAAAAACATGACAGTTTTGTATATTTTTACATTCCAAATCGGTTTTACTTCTGTTTCAGGATTTTCGCTACTTATAATAGTGAAAATTTTGAAATTGAAGCAATTCTGACTAATTATATATGGAGTTATTTAGTATAGTTATCAAGTAATATATACTACAATATTGAACAATATTGGTTGTTACGTTTATTTACACCTTTAATGTAAACACCATATTTTCACCAACTTTGAATACCGTTTGAATATGTGTTTTTATTCTTATATATCAGTCTTATCAACCAATCTTTTGATCAAACATGCATGTAACATCACAAATCTTTTTATATGTATCAAATCCAAATAGATTACTTAAACATTCCTCTCGTTTTCAAGAAAGGTAATGAGATTTTCCATGCCTTGGTCATTTAACTTCTTATCGCCAAAGATCAAACTGAGCTTTTTGGCATTCTCTCCAACTTTTTTACCCTCCTCATTTTCAAGCATTATAAACCTTATTGTCAGCCACAAAACCACTTCTAAATGACCCGTCTTCTTCATCTCTTGGGACTTCAATGCCGACCTGGTTGTCCTCCATAACTCGGACATTAATCCCTTGGTCAACCAAGAAGGGAAGCATGACTAGTGGGTGACCAAATGTGATTCCCTCGATGATAGAGCTTCAACCGCAATGAGTCAAAAACCCGCCGACTGAGTCGTGACTCAGAATGCTCTTCTGAGGTGCCCAGGTCTTCCATACTATTCCCCGCCCTTTGATCCTCTCTTCGAACCCATCCGGAAAGCCCGGTGATGAGTGGTTTCCCATCGGAGTCCTCACAACCCAAAAAAATGGAACCCCGCTCTGGTCTAACCCGCGAGCCAACTCACTGATTTGACTCGGTCCGACCACCACCTCACTCCCTAGTGCTACATACACCACGGAGCATTTTTGTTGTGTGTCAAGCCACTCCTTAAAGGATACCCAAGCCTCGCTTCTGTCATCATTATCACTAACATGAAACGTCGGTGGCATTAACCCAATGGGAAGTATGGGTTGTCGACTATTAGACTCCAGCAGTTTAACCCACTTTGGTTCGAAATGGTTGCAATGTCGGGAGATTAGTAGGTTTGAACCATTCTTCACGGCTATAATCCGGTCAACCTTTGTTTGAAAAGGTACCTTCGTTAGTGAGTTGAGCATCCATTTTGCCTCGTACCTACCTGTATACCTCGGAGTAGTTAGAAACTCCCTTAAAAAGGAATTATAACATATTCAAAGTCTACAAATAGCATAAGTGCATAACTATTATTTTCTTATTAAAATGAGAATAATTTACTTCTAATTAGGAAATTTTATACTTTAAATAGAATAAAACAAGTTACATTTTGAAAATAAAACACAATTTGTACACTTCTTTTATATTTTAGTCTTATTTGGAACAATTTATTTATATTTATTAAGGATACATCGTAGTTAACATAAAAAGTTTTTTTCATTTTTAGTACCTCGACTATTCAGTCAGTGACAGTTTTGGTACTTGACTTTCAATATTTTCATTTTTAGTCCTCAACTATTGTGCGAGAGACATTTTTAGTCTTCGACTTTAATGTTTTTCACATTTAGTCCCATGAGTATTATAAAATTGACACTTTTAGTCCTTCCACTATGAATTTGACACAATAGGCGGAGGACTAAAAATGTCACTATTATAATAGTTGAAGGATCAAAAGTGTCACTTCTATGAAAGTCGAAAGACTAAATGTGCAAATTTTCAAACACATGTACCAAAAGTGTCTGTCACACGATAGTCGAAGGAGTAAAAGTGGAAAAACTCAAAATTGAGTATCAGAAGTGTCAGTGACGCAATAGTAGAAGGACTAATAGTGACAAAAACTCTTTAACATAAATAATAAAATAAAAAATAAAAATGAATGAGCCTTTCGTTTTCTAAATTACCGATCTCATCTCATTCGTTACATTTGTAGTCAATTGAGCTCTACTTTAGTTTTTTGTTTTACTTAACAGCATTTTTTCTCGATCAAATCCTTGTTTTTATTTTGGTTCCTGAAGTGTGTGCTTGACCGAGCTTCTATTGAGAAATATACACGAGAATATTTACCAAGTCCAAGGCACCTGATCCTGCTCACGGAGTTCCTGACAGAGTTTCTTTTTCTCTTCTTCATATTGTAATTGGGATTTTGAGGATTGGCTAAGTGTAGCATCCTCGGGTTGGTTAGTGTGTTGTGAGAGCTTTGTTGTAAAACTGAGAGGTTCTCTATCCGCAAGGTAGAGAAGCATAACTCTTCCTAGAGAGGATAGAGTTGGGTGGCGCAAGGGTAGACTAGGAGAGTTTCCCTTGTAATCATTCAAAGGCTTTTTTAGTGGAGTTGTTAAAATTCCTCCGAGGGAGGTCGATGTTTTTTAATCCCTTTGAGCCAAGGGATTTTTTCTCGTTGAATCCTTGTGCACTTTACTATTTCGCATTTCTCTGAACCCCACATTAGAACTGTGCGAAAATCTGCCACGATTCCACACATACAATTCACCCCCCTCTTGTGTTGCTAACCGTTTCATCACACACAATTTTTATTTTATAAATTATCGTGAAAGTCAACTCTGGTCAACCTTTTTGGGACGGAGGGAGTATAAAATACTACCTCCGTCCCGGTGGACTTTGCCAAATGTAAAGTAAGCGAGAAATAAGAAAAATAAAAATTGCATGATTGATATTTGTGCAAAAAATAAAGAAATGTGCAGAATAATAAATTAATTAATAGCTTTAATCCGAAAATACAAAGTTTTTGAGAGTTTCGGTGAGGGAGTATGAAAAACAAAAAACAAGATGAAAATAGGAAAGGAATAGCACAGATACCAGCTGCAATTTCTTCCGGCTCCCGAGTTACTGCTATCATCACGGAACAGGCAACTTCCTTCAAAATCGTTGATACAACCCACCGCCGGCAATGTCGGCGGCCAAACACTCGCAGTTACCGACATCTCTTGCCACCGTCTGCACTCTCCAAGGCTCCATCATTACCCTTGCCGTTCTAACTTTAGTCTCCTTCAGTTGCATCTCGCTGAAGTCTCTCAATTCACCTTCGCTCGGAACCTCCACAAATCCTTCTCCTTTCCAACACGACCTGGTAAAATATTCAATACATTTCATTCTAAACGTCTCTGATTAAAAGAGGAAATAACTCATTCGCGAAGTCCTTGATCTTAATTTAGGTAATAAATTCGGCTTCTAATGACACTGAAAGTTCGAAATTTATTGAAGCACCAGTGGAGTTATTATCACCTCTGGAGAATCAATTGTCAGATGTGTATCATTCACCAGATGTATTCAGATTGAACTATGCCGAAATGGAGAAAAAGTTCAAGGTGTATATATATCCAGATGGTGATCCGAATACGTTTTATCAGACTCCAAGGAAGCTGACTGGGAAGTACGCCAGCGAGGGCTATTTTTTTCAGAATATTAGGGAGAGTAAGTTTGTTACAGACGATCCAGATGAGGCTCACTTGTTCTTTATTCCAATATCTTGCCATAAGATGAGAGGAAAGGTATGTGTTTTCTGCAATGTTGTTCACTTTGGATATTCATTGGTTGGAGTACTCTGTACAATTTCAGTGCGACTTTGCTCATTAATTTTAACCAAAATGCAAAACAAATGCGTTGAAATGTGCAGCGTGCAAGGTCCCATAATTTCTAATTATAATCTTTTTTCTCTTAGGTCATTATTCACTTCCCTTAGGGCGTTGGTTAGCAAGACCCTAAATTTAATGGCTTTTCACCTATAATGAGAGGTCGATCAAAGGTATTTTATAGTATGGGGGTTCGGATTTTGATGTAGGATTAATTAACATCTTGGTTGCAAATAATTAATATTTGCCTAAGAAGTTGAGGAAGAGAAACCTTTTTACTTGATTAGGGATAGGGCATGCCAGGTGAAACACAATATTTCAACATCAATGAAGTCTGACTTAGACTTCATCTAGAAAATTTTGAAATTCTGTCATATTTGTTTGATTAGTCAGATTTCACAGCTTAAACTATACAACTCTATTTTAATGAGAATCATCTTCTTGATACTTGAACTGGTCAGAGGCCTCTTAGAATTTGGCCAAACAAAAAGGAACTTTAGTTAACCACAAATCATTATGATCCTAAATTCTCAGATGCATCAGTATTCTAGCTTTGAATGGTAAAGGGTCTCTGATTATTGATATATTTAGAAACGTTTACATCTAGTTTGGAAACTTATGAGGTTTTCTCATTACACATTAATCCATATCTCTTAGCATTTCATCATTTAAGAAAACAAAAATTTATGCAACTTTACACCTGATGGGCTCTTGAGTTTTCTTTCCAGGCCTTTATACCCATTCTTAGTGCATATTTCTGATTTATATTTCTAAAAGTTTTGGACTAAGAAGATTACACATAGTATATAAGTTCTCTTCTATAGATGTCTGTATTTTGTCTTAGTATTATTCAAGCTATAGAACTTACCATCGAGACTTGAATAAATCCAGGGAACATCCTACGAGAACATGACGATAATTGTACAGAACTATGTGGAGAGCTTAATAGCCAAGTACCCATACTGGAACAGAACCCTTGGCGCTGATCACTTTTTCGTTACTTGTCATGATGTTGGTGTGAGGGCTACTGAAGGACATCCGTTTCTCATTAAGAACTCCATTCGTGTTGTGTGCTCCCCAAGCTATGATGTTGGATATATTCCACACAAAGATGTTGCCCTCCCACAAGTTTTGCAACCATTTGCCCTTCCAGCAGGTGGAAATGATGTGGAGAATAGGTATTGAAGTAAATCTTGAACATCTGATGAAATAAAGAGACCAAAATGCTCTTCTAAATACTTATCCATTTCCTTTCATTAAGCACAGTGATCTAATTCATGGAATGTTATGCCAAATTGCTGAGAAGAAAGTTTGATGCCGTACATTTCCTCTTCTCTTTTGTTCTTTTCATTATTATCAGATTTTGTAATTGTTCCTTCACCTTAGAAAGATTATAATTAGTTTCTAAAGCACCTGGGGAATTTTATGGTACCACTATGAAAGCATGAGACCAACATATAACATTGATAGTGATATCACTTCCCACATTTTGATAGCTATGAATTGAAAAATGAACGATCTGGTCTGCTGTTATGAACTATCAGCCTTGTATCCTGTTTCCCTTTAATTACAATGTTTCGTAACCATGACTTGACAAAAGTGGTGAAATCTCATTGCTTTTCTGCTCGAATTTCTTAAATAATACCCCTATAAATAGCTTTGATTATGTTACAGTTTAAAATATATAGATCCATTATGCTTGTAAATATATGCTTCATGTGGCTATGCATAGAACATTTGTTTATGGATTTTTAACCCATCAGTTTGGCATGACGCCTTCTGAGATAGAGAATGTTTCAAATTAATGGAACATTCCCCAATACATATTTCAAAATTATTTTCCTGAAAGACTGATTACATGATATAATATAGACTTCAGTGAATTCAACAACAGTCATTTCATTCGCAGGACATCTCTGGGGTTCTGGGCGGGCCATAGGAACTCAAAAATCAGGGTCATCTTGGCGCGTGTGTGGGAGAATGACACAGAGCTTGATATATCTAACAACAGGATAAACAGGGCTACTGGGCATCTACTCTATCAAAAGAGATTTTACAGGACTAAGTTCTGCATATGCCCTGGTGGCTCTCAGGTCAATAGTGCTCGCATAGCAGACTCCATACACTATGGGTGCATTCCAGGTATGAAGGCTGATATATCACTTTAACGAAAAATAAGTGTTTGAACAGTTTTGAGTTATTTCTCTGGTTCAGTGTGCCTCTATTCACATTTTCGGAGTGGCATTGATGCCTTACCTGGTGGGTTTGGAAAGATCATAACCTTTCTGTAATTTTTACACACCCAAAAAAATGTTTTGTTTTTTTACTCTAAAACACCTGTAAACTTCTTTTACATGGAAAATAAATTTACTTAACCTAATTCTGAAAATTCTTCTTGTGTTATACGGAGAATATTTTATTTAAAGCTACATTTTATGCTCTGCTTGGCAGTTTCATCTGGCCTACTTGGCTACTATGAGCAGAATAAACAGCTTTTGACTTATTTGGCCGAAATAGATGTTACCAAACACTTTCTTTCATAAAATTCAACACACTTGGTCATTTCAGCAAAATAACATTCATCAAGCAGGCTTAATAAGAAAAAATGTGTGTAATTTGAGTTTTCTATGAAACTCCAAAGGGCTGATCTCGTGTAGAACATGGATGAAATTCCCCTTGCTTAAATGGAATTTTTTTCACAACTATACCATCCTGCGGTAGAATCTATTCTTTTCACTACTACCATTCTGTGGTAGAATCTATGTCCTATTGTCCTTTTCTTATCTAAGTTTATATATAATTGATGTCACTGTGGTTTCTAATATTGAAGCGTATCGGGGCTTTCTTGCAGTGATACTCTCTAATTATTATGACTTGCCATTCAATGACATTCTCAATTGGCATAAATTTGCGGTCGTACTCAGGGAGAAGGATGTATATGAGCTAAAGCAGATTCTCAAAAACATTACTCAAGCAGAGTTTGTGACTTTGCATTACAATTTACTCAAGGTAGGGACCACTGAAATGTTAAGTTTAAGAACTATCTTAGAACTATCTTAAAACTTATGTGGACCAAAACAGAAAAGTTAAAATTTTAAATGATTTTTTGCTTGATTGCTTCAGATCCAAAAACATTTCCAGTGGAATACACCTCCTATCAAATATGATGCTTTTCATATGGTCATGTATGAATTATGGTTGCGCCACCGTGTGGTCAAGTATTGAGATGCAACATAGCGACATGAACTTATACATCACTTAACCTGAGAAGCTTGCTGGCTCTGAAATACCACCGATTGAAGTCAAATATGATGCCTCCCTGACAATGGACTTTACTTCAGATACATTCAGAAGGTTGTAAATAACGGCATAATAATTTTGTTTTTAATATTTTAAATCTGTTCTTCATTCGTTAGTTATCCCTTGTATGTATTTTGATTAGTTCTTTCTCTTTTTACCTGTGGGATGTGGGAACTAGAGGCAAAACTGACCGAGTTCAAGATGATCTATTTGTCTGCATGTTTATAGGTTCTTTTTGTACCTAGCAAGTAACCTCGAACTATGGAAATTGCAGCAGTTTAAAAATCTGTTTGGCATGCCATAGTGAAATAGTTGCACGGTTAGAGTTTTTTTTAACTTAATTAATATTACAGTTATGCTTCGTGTACACGGCACTTGTACACGCCATTTTACACGCCAGTATGTGTATACACAATTTGACCGGAATTTTGTGAAAAAAATGTTAATATTGTCTGTGTCACAAATAGCGTGTAAAATGGTGTGTGCAAGTGTCGTGTACAAATAGCATTAGTGTTAATATTAACAAGGATAACAAGAGATAAAGCCATCAAACTAGAAGTTACCCTGGGGTGAGACACATAGTTGGAATCACTTAGTAGAGTTCTTATATCACCATTACTTGCTCACTCAAGATTCAATCCATGACCCAATATGGTGAGACAACACGTGACGCCGGTTTGTCTGTAGAATTTCCCTTCCTTAGTACACCTAAAAGTGTAAAAACATTACAGTTTATGCAATCCGATTTGAAGTGTGTTACAAAGATGGGTTGGCTCATGTGTCTTTAGGCAAGAGTTAACCATTTCACCCACCCACCAACCATATGTTGGGAGTATCTCTAGCTTTGCATTATATCTGTTTTAGAGAATTTATAATATTTTACTCATGTTTAGTGAATTTTCTCTTATATCAACACCACTTTTTATACATAAACGCACGTATAGAATATCTGCATGTCATACACTGATACACTGCCAAAACAGATTTCTAGGAGATCTGTAAGAAACAAAACTTATAGTTGATGTAATATTATAAATTTATATGAAATGGCAAAATAGGAGCAAAAAACATGGGTTAAATATCACAAATTATATGGTACATCCGGGTAATTTTGTAATTTCCTCCAACTTTAAACCTTCTTCTCCCATTCCATTATTGCACGTCGATCTCTTCACCATAGACATCGCCCGCCGCTCGACCTTCACCATGCTTCATCGATTCGAGCTTCATCGTCACCGTAATCGCAGCGCGAAGAGTTTTTCCATGGATGCAGTCTGACTAGGAGCAGATTCCATCTTGCTGCAACCTAATTTGTTGGAGTCTCACCTGAGTTGTTCAATCGCCGACGCTCCAATCCGTCAAAATTTAGGTGTTTCTAGTCCGTCGCCATTCTTTCATCTCCGGTGATGCAAAGATTCTAGATGACAACATTGATGCTGTGTATAGATTAGATTTTGGTGATATTGACCTGACAGATCAATCCAACCTTTGCATCATCGCTCTCACATACCAAATGAGCATAACGCTTAAACGAAATGAGCATATACAAATGAGAATTTGAACACATTAGCGATTTCAAATGACCTTTTGAAATTTTCGATACTCATTTTATAATTATGTATGCTCATTTGGTTCTGACATTATCCTCATTTTAAAATGACATATAAATTCATAATTCAAAAGTATCATGATGCTCAATATTATACTCCTAATACTCAACAAAATAAATGTAATGCTCAGTAAAAGTTAATGAATGCTCATTTGACAGAAACCGTGATGTTGTGATCATTTGTAAAATGTCATATCAATGTATATTTTAAAAGTATCATATCACATAAAACATGCATATTACAATTCATTGAGATTGTTTATACATATAATTCAACAAGTTTTATAAAAGAAAAAGAAAATTAGAAAATATGGAGCGAAGATGGTGATGTTCATCGTCATGCTCCTAATACTCATTACAATATGTTTGATGCTCACTAACAGTACACTTATGCTCGTTTAACGAAAATCGCGATTTTTCTCTTAAATTACCAAAATGCCACCGCCAGTTATTTGTTTAATTGGACCGGATGTACGGTTCCCACCCGTACACCCGGGTGTACTATATACGAACCGGGTTAATTATAGTTGGTGTACAAAAAAAAGTCTGTTGTGTTAGAATTCATAGTTGGTGTAATTTACTCTCTCCGTCCCATAGAAAGATTCTTCCTTTCCTTTTTTGGATGTTCCATATCAAGGTTTCCATTTCAATTTTAGAAAACAATTAACAATCTTAAATGATAAATTAATCATTAAATATAAAAAATACTATCTTCGTCCCATTCAAAGGTTCCAAACCACTATTAACATGGTCAACTTAAATCATTCATAATCTTTTGCTTTATATATCATTTTTTTATTAAATTTACATTTTTATCAGGCTTCGTAGCGATTTTAATGTAGATTTTGAATATGTAAATTTTATTTACTAAAAATAATCTGAGTGTGAACATGGATCAAATTGTTTTATCCTCAGTCAAGCATCGTAAATCGAATCGGGAACCTCTCTATGGGACGGAGGGAGTAATACATTTATAACAACACAATTATCAACACTAACCTCATTATATTATATACCAATTAAAATTATTTCTCAAAATATACTCGAACTACATTGTTTAATTATTGCCTAAATAACCGTGTCGTTTTGTCATGAGAACCTTTTAAAGTATAAGGCCGACCTTTGATCGCACCAATTAAACATGAAATATTGCTTTATATATGAACCAAAATAAAAACAAGGATTTGATCGAGAAAAAATGCTGTTAAGTAAAACAAAAAACTAAAGTAGAGCTCAATTGACTACAAATGTAACGAATGAGATGAGATCGGTAATTTAGAAAACGAAAGGCTCATTCATTTTTATTTTTTATTTTATTATTTATGTTAAAGAGTTTTTGTCACTATTAGTCCTTCTACTATTGCGTCACTGACACTTCTGATACTCAATTTTGAGTTTTTCCACTTTTACTCCTTCGACTATCGTGTGACAGACACTTTTGGTACATGTTTTTGAAAATTTGCACATTTAGTCTTTCGACTTTCATAGAAGTGACACTTTTGATCCTTCAACTATTATAATAGTGACATTTTTAGTCCTCCGCCTATTGTGTCAAATTCATAGTGGAAGGACTAAAAGTGTCAATTTTATAATACTCATGGGACTAAATGTGAAAAACATTAAAGTCGAAGACTAAAAATGTCTCTCGCACAATAGTTGAGGACTAAAAATGAAAATATTGAAAGTCAAGTACCAAAACTGTCACTGACTGAATAGTCGAGGTACTAAAAATGAAAAAAACTTTTTATGTTAACTACGATGTATCCTTAATAAATATAAATAAATTGTTCCAAATAAGACTAAAATATAAAAGAAGTGTACAAATTGTGTTTTATTTTCAAAATGTAACTTGTTTTATTCTATTTAAAGTATAAAATTTCCTAATTAGAAGTAAATTATTCTCATTTTAATAAGAAAATAATAGTTATACACTTATGCTATTTGTAGACTTTGAATATGTTATAATTCCTTTTTAAGGGAGTTTCTAACTACTCCGAGGTATACAGGTAGGTACGAGGCAAAATGGATGCTCAACTCACTAACGAAGGTACCTTTTCAAACAAAGGTTGACCGGATTATAGCCGTGAAGAATGGTTCAAACCTACTAATCTCCCGACATTGCAACCATTTCGAACCAAAGTGGGTTAAACTGCTGGAGTCTAATAGTCGACAACCCATACTTCCCATTGGGTTAATGCCACCGACGTTTCATGTTAGTGATAATGATGACAGAAGCGAGGCTTGGGTATCCTTTAAGGAGTGGCTTGACACACAACAAAAATGCTCCGTGGTGTATGTAGCACTAGGGAGTGAGGTGGTGGTCGGACCGAGTCAAATCAGTGAGTTGGCTCGCGGGTTAGACCAGAGCGGGGTTCCATTTTTTTGGGTTGTGAGGACTCCGATGGGAAACCACTCATCACCGGGCTTTCCGGATGGGTTCGAAGAGAGGATCAAAGGGCGGGGAATAGTATGGAAGACCTGGGCACCTCAGAAGAGCATTCTGAGTCACGACTCAGTCGGCGGGTTTTTGACTCATTGCGGTTGAAGCTCTATCATCGAGGGAATCACATTTGGTCACCCACTAGTCATGCTTCCCTTCTTGGTTGACCAAGGGATTAATGTCCGAGTTATGGAGGACAACCAGGTCGGCATTGAAGTCCCAAGAGATGAAGAAGACGGGTCATTTAGAAGTGGTTTTGTGGCTGACAATAAGGTTTATAATGCTTGAAAATGAGGAGGGTAAAAAAGTTGGAGAGAATGCCAAAAAGCTCAGTTTGATCTTTGGCGATAAGAAGTTAAATGACCAAGGCATGGAAAATCTCATTACCTTTCTTGAAAACGAGAGGAATGTTTAAGTAATCTATTTGGATTTGATACATATAAAAAGATTTGTGATGTTACATGCATGTTTGATCAAAAGATTGGTTGATAAGACTGATATATAAGAATAAAAACACATATTCAAACGGTATTCAAAGTTGGTGAAAATATGGTGTTTACATTAAAGGTGTAAATAAACGTAACAACCAATATTGTTCAATATTGTAGTATATATTACTTGATAACTATACTAAATAACTCCATATATAATTAGTCAGAATTGCTTCAATTTCAAAATTTTCACTATTATAAGTAGCGAAAATCCTGAAACAGAAGTAAAACCGATTTGGAATGTAAAAATATACAAAACTGTCATGTTTTTGCCCCTTAAGAATGAGTAATAACTGTCAAGTTTAAGCAACAGTATCATATTTAGAGACATTAGATGACACTAAATTGGTTGAATTAACTGAATCTGCTGAAATTGTTGAAGTTTTGACCAAAATAGCTGAGTGGGTTGAATTTGTTGAATTATGGAAAAATTATATTTAAATTTTTTTTCACTAATAAAATGAAAAAAAAGTTATGTGGAAATGACTAAAATCATCTTCTATAGTAATTTCAATCTAATGAGGTAGAAAATAGGTCTAACATTACTTATTTTGATTAATGCACAATCCACGTACGGACTCAAAAGTTACGTGTTTGGTGAAAAAGTAGTTGATAGGGTTGATAAGCCAAAAATGTGAGTCACTAAACGAGCTCTTAAAATCTAATAACGCCAAAACATGGCAGAGTTCCACTTATTTAGGGAACATTTTTTTTTTAAATTCACAAATATTTTTATTTCTATTTAGC